TCCCTGGTGCAGTTTCGAAACTTGTCCATCGGTCAAACAAACGTAAAAGTTTGGGAATCGCTGTCTTATCGGACTGCGGTAAAGCTTTTAAGTGTACAGGGTGGCCCAAGAAAGTGACAACAGCTCGTAGCAAGGTGTTAATTAATCTCTTATATATATTTTGCTTCTGGTGTGTCCTGCTTCCTCTTTTAAAAACGCTGCCACAGTACTGAGTGGAAGAAAAGGCTGTCACGCAGCGAGAGTCATGCTGGACGGTTGAATAGGTCAATTATTCTTTTTTTTTCTTTAGGGGGAGGCGACTATTATTTTATCAATAAAGAGACACGGGTGTAGCTTAGCATAGGACTATCTGTAGGAGTGTCTGTAGGACTATTATTTAAATGCCGCCATATATTATAAAAAATGAGAAGTTAACTCCATTTTTTTAACACTTGGCCCCACCGACTGTTTTCTTAAAATACCCCGACAGGGTGTAAAAAAAACTGCATCCGGGTAAGCCCCAGGATAATTTAATTAATACAATGTTTTGTCATTTACAGTTATATGCCAAGTATTATGCTAATTAGAAAACATGTTCAATGCCCCCCCCCCTCGGGGAGGGGGGGGGGCACGCACACACTTTTTTGTTTTTGAACGAGTTCAATTTTTGCGCCACACGGTTATGTTCTGTCAATAAAACGCTCCCCCCCCCCTGCCCCTCGCTGCCCTACACGTATCCATTCTTCAATTATTACCATTTTAAGCTGCTCAGCTATAATAAATTTCTACCGAAGGTTGACTTTTTCTTGCAATGCACCCCATATGGCATGATCGACATGGTTTTGGATCAGATCTGTGCGGTGGTCACATGTTTTGGCTCGAGAAATGTAACATTCTCCCGATGAAGAATGTTTATGGTATATCTGGCTGAGTGAGATGCAGCTCCGTCCTGCTGTAATGTCCTGTTAAAGCAACCACCGCATAGCAGGCAGAAAAACCCCGTGTTAGAACATTTGCACAATAATATTCAGTGTTTACGTTGGAACAAGGCTCAAAGAAAACAACACTAGTTTTCCCCGTTTTAGAAACACCAACTAACACCATTCAAGACACACCAACTGACACCATTTGAGACACACCAACTGATACCATTCGAGACACACCAACTGGTACCATTCGAGACACACCAACTGGTACCATTCGAGACACACCAACTGATACCATTCGAGACACACCAATTGATACCATTCGAGACACACCAACTGATACCATTCGAGACACACCCACTGATACCATTCGAGACACACCAACTGATACCATTCGAGACACACCCACTGATACCATTCGAGACACACCAACTGATACCATTCGAGACACACCAACTGATACCATTCGAGACACACCAACTGATACCATTCGAGACACACCCACTGATACCATTCGAGACACACCAACTGATAACATGATATCGCGGCTGAAATGTTCACGTTGTCGTAAAAGTCTCCTTTCTGGAACTTGCAATTTCTTTGATTCAAATGAATAAACAGGATCATTTTGAGAATTAACTGGCGTTGCAATCGCCTAGCAACCCATTGTTTTTCAAATCGAAATTTTTTAATCTGAATACCGTCTTCTGTTGTGATTTTTATCATTTTCTAAATATAAAAAAAAAAACAAAAAACACATCGTTGACGGTTGGAAAATTAAAAATCAAAGATGACGACCGGAAATTGTGAGAATAATGACGTCTTATAGTTAAAATAGAGGTACGTGAGTAAATCATAATTTAGCCATAATGGATACGTTGAAATAAATTTCATGTAATCATATTACATTGTAAGAGATTTGGGAAACGGGGGGGGGGGAGAGGAGAGAGGGAGAGGAGGAGAGAGAGAGAGAGAGAGAGAGAGAGAGAGAGAGAGAGAGAGAGAGAGAGAGAGAGAGAGAGAGAGAGAGAGAGCACCTTGTATATAAGCTTAGGAAAAAAAATCAAAAACTTTCTGTCTAACAAGAATGGTTAAGCTTCAAAACAAATAACGAAGTAAATTACTTTGACCTCAAGCCTTCGTCAGTTAAAAAAATTTACGTGTTTATTACAACTCGTTCGTTATTTTCTACAGCTATATCATCTGTCGGATGATCCCTAAAGAAAAGATTTAGATCCTTTGCAAGAGCTCCAGGTGAGATGCATACAAAAAGAATCTATAGCTAAGTCTAATCTTATTTGATATTTTTCTTCACATAAGCTGTGTGTTCGACTTAAGCATGTTTACTTTTAAAATGTTTGAGGCACGCAAGCTGATGTCTTGCTACTGGTCGTTACCTCAATACGATGAACGATATTGTAGATTCATAATCTTATATCAGTGGTTCTCAAACCTGGTGCATATTATTATTATTATTACTACAGTGGTCTTAAATAGCGCGGCACCCTAGTCTGGGGCTAGGCTCACCGCGATGCACATAAAAATGTTAGCAAACATTATCATGACATAAAAAATTACATGCATTTATTTCATTAGAAAACTGCTGTATAAAAACAAAAAACAAAACAAAATAAAACATCTATATCCAACCCACCCACCCCAGAACTACTAACATGCCAAGCCATGGGCGGCACCAAGCAGCATCGTTTATCAGTCAGTGGGGGTGGGAATCAGTCGGGATAGTATAAGTTTGAAGAGAGGGTTCCTGAGAGCAGCTTTGAAGGCCTGGATGGTCGTTATATTGCGGATGTATAGTGGGAGAGAATTCCATTGTTTCGGAGCATATGATCAAGCCCTAATAAACCCCACCCCGTCGTACTCAGTTATAAGCATTCCTCATTCTTAAAAAATAAAGTTTTCAAAGCTCTCTGTGGTAGACAATTAACACAATAAAATTTACAATTGAAAGAAATATTTGAAAAACGAAACGAAACACAATGCTTGTATTAATTCAATAGTAGTCAGATTAATTTGACCAAGCAGTAACTTAGTGAGTTCGTTATTTAGCAAGATCTTTAGATATCTAACTTCTTCACTGTTTTTTTTTTTTTTTTTTTTTTTTTTTTTTTTTTTTTTTTTTTTTTTTTTTTTTAATTCTTAATGGGATGGAGGCCTGGTCTCAGTAAAGTGAAATTAGTTTTAAAGTCTGGTTTCAGCACTTAAAAGAAACTTGATTTGCTAAGTTCATATTTATATGACATCTCTTTAATGTACACAAAGCTCGTTAACTATGATACACTGAAACCACCTACAAAATAGAAAGATGAATATGCACGCACAGCTTTCCACGGAGGAGAAATAGGATAATGTGTCATATGATGGGCGAAAACCTTGGTACATTTTTAAAAAGTCGTTAGTTAAAGCAATTTATTGTCTCTTAACAAAAGCATTTTCTGAGTCCATTAGGAATAAAGGTAATGTATTATAACAATTTACATTTGAACAATTATTAGAACATTGTTGACGATTCAATAATTATATTGATAACAAACAACTACAATTTCGCCAATACTTAGACTTAGATACTTTTTCATATTTTAATCACTTACTAAGTTATCTTATCACTATGTCAAAGCGAGTTTAGTGACTCGGTGCCAGCCTGCCACACAGAGAATAAGACAAGAGTTTGTAAATAGTTTAATAAATTGTTTATTGTTGTTATTGTAAGTTTAGCTAATCCGTTGAAAATAGTAACATTAAAAATTATTTTCGGCGAAATGCAGAGTTTTGTTTTTGTTTTTTTATACCTGGAAGGGAAGCGGCAACAATCTTTTCCGGTCCCAGGCGAATATACCCTAGCCCTAAGGCCCTACCCTAGCTAAGAAAGCCACTGGTTGGATCGATTTAATACTATGATAATGATAAATTATGAGATGTTATAATTACGTAAAAATCCAAGCTAAATAAATAATAATTAATTGATCTCCTAATAATAGGTTGTCGGCCAATTTGCTAATCGGTGCAACCCTACAATTTAACAATTATTTTACGATTACAACTTCTGTTTGTCTTGTTTAGTAGTTGCTAATGGCTTTTCACGGTGATGCGCGGTTAATAGTTATATCGCCGGTCTTAGTCACAACAAAAAGTTTATAAAAAGGCATAGTGTTAATTCAAGTAATTGGCCCAACTTTCGCTCAGCCTTGATTGTAATTTATTGAGTGAAAGGGTAATTTATTTGGTCCACCTCATAAAGTTGATGTAGAAGTTGCAAACAGTTATTCAAGAAGCTTATAGTATTTTTAGTGAGTAGGCTATTTTACATTTAATGGTGATTTCAATCTGATTATTAATCAAAACTGTTTTGAAATACACTACATTTTGAAATAAATTCTTTAAAAAAACTACACTTAGATCTAACAGCACTAGATCTATATTACAGACATTTAAAAAATTCTTTTAAATTAAAATTATAATTATTATATTTTTAAACTATGATCAGTGAGAGATTCATTACAAGTACCTAGGTCTCAAAAATGGCATCTGATCAAGCTACTGGTGGCCATAGAGGAGCAAAATTGGGGTGTAATAACTTAGACAGTTGTGAGAATTTATTTCAAAATTTAGAGACTGGAGTCATAATTAGGACTACCATGTTAAGTGGGATGGAATGAAAAATGATTTACTGGGAGGATCTTAATCTTAGTAAATGTTCTAGGCCAGGGATTCTTTGCCTTTTACTTTTTGCAGCGCTGCAGCCCCACTTAATTTTAAAAATTACCTGCATGTCATTCATGAATGGCCCCTATCAAATACTCTGATATTTATCGTGTGTCAAATATTTATTACTGTCTGAAAAACTACTCATTGTGCTGCTGCAAATGTTGTTTTCTTCTCTACACCCATTCTTTTATTGTTTACTATTTTGAGAATTTTTAAATAAAAAGTGTCTGTAGTCTGAAAAATATGAAACTGATTCTACACTTAAAATTCATTTAATTATTACATTTTTTTAAAAAGTACTTCATTATTATTTAATTACACTTTTCATTTTGGAAATAAACCATGTTTTATATCTTTTTAAGCTCCGCTGCCATGTCCTACAAGTGGGAAACGCTGAAACCAATGCCATCAAAAAGAGTATTTGCATCACCACTTGTGCATGAGGATAATCTCTATATAATTGGGGGATGTGATGAGAAAGGTGTTCCGTTGGACTGCTTCGAAATGTTCAATTTAAAGCAGAAGAAATGGCACAGGCTTCAAAACATGCCCACAAAGAGAGCTGCCCCCGCTATCGCCGGTATCGGTAATAAAATTGTTGCAGTGGGAGGTGTATCTGAATCTCAGAATCCATTGGAAGCTATTGAAATTTTTGACTTGACTGAGAAAAAGTGGACAGTGGCTGACCCACTGGGAGAAAAGCTTCTTGGTATATCCTGTGTCATTAGAGGTAATGACTTGGTAGAGGGTCGTAATTGTTCTATTGTAAGTTTTAATTAAAAGTGAATAAATATCTTTTTACAAATTTCTGTCTTGGTTGTATAACTCTAAAGTTATTTAATATACAGTGTTAATTAATATTTAATCATACTATCTCAAACCTCCAAATTTTCTAGCTCTTCCATTTTTTATATGCTCACAATGGATGAACAAGGGCTTATGACATTGCCAGTTAGTTAATATTTTATATCCACAAAGTGTTTAGAGTAAAAAATAAGGTTAAAAAATAAGGTTTATAAGACTTAATACCTTCTTAGTCAAGTCATATGAAATTAATTCCATGTCTTTAATTTAAATAAAGAAATCTGTATGACTACAGTTAGAATAAATAACCAATGAATTATCTTTAATTACAATTACATATAAATTGCTATCAAATTCATCATCAGAGTCATTTTTTTTTTTAAAACATAGGTGTAACAATAATAAAAATTTGACGTTAACTTTAAACTAGCTATTTTCATTTAAAGGTTGTAATTTATCCATTTGGGAAGGACGTAAATATGTTAGAATGTGTGCGCTGCTAAGGCAAGATTATTCATGATATTTTTTTCTTGTTACTATGTTACAGAGACATCAGTTGGCATCAGGTGGATGTAAAGGTTAAAATCAGTCAACGTCATTAGGCATCTTGTACGTACACTGTAAAGTGCAGTAATTTTTATTTTAAATCTTTAAATAATTTTCTCTAACAGAAAATAAAGCCTATTTCATGGGAGGAATGGCTGCAGATACCACCCCTAGTGACATGTTAGTGGAATTAGATTTGGAGACCAACAAATGGCAGAAACTGGCACCATTACTGACGGCGAGATATGCCACTTTTGCATTTCTTATTCAGGACAAGATATATTTGTTAGGTAATAAATAAGGATGATGTTAAATTAAATGGCAGATTTGTAAAATATTATGTGTTGCTAATGTTTATACTAATAGTGAATAAAAACTTATTCAATTAGATGTAATTACCTCTCATTGTTATACTTAAACTGCAATTTAAGAGACTTTTATGGTACCGTAGTTAGTGAATGATTTGAAATGGTCCGTATTGGAGGTATATTTATTTATGTTTCATATTTAATCATTTTTGTGCGTGTTATTTTTTATTAGGTGGCAGACAAGGAAAAATCCCAACTACAGCTTTTGAAGTTTATGACTTCAGCACAAAGAAATGGTCCAAACTACCTGATATTCCTTCCAAACGTGTATTTGCAATGTATGCTACAAATGGTCAACAAATTCTCAGTGTTGGGGGCTTGTTGCAGCCAGCTAGTCAAGGTTTTTCTGATGCATGTGAGGTTTTTAATATTGAAAAGGGTAAGGCACCATCTGCCTTTTTTTACATACTCTGTTACTTCCTAAGATATTTCTAAAGACTAGAGATCTGTTATTTCATGTTTTTCTTAGTTTCATTCAATATATTTTCTTTCATTTCCATCGTGGAGAATTTCTGATGTAGCGAAACTGACCTTTTTTTCTAGCTGTTAATCATATTTTAACTTTGATTTTATGTCTTTAATGCCGTACCTGTTCAAGGTATTTTAACATTAATTTGAGTTATTTATGATTTACTAAAAGGAAAACTGGACTGTTTTATATTTAAAAAGAAAATAGATTAATGTTAAAAAATTGTATTTTTATTACTTCATGGGTGCTGTTTAAGTCATGAAATAATGATTATTTTGTCACTTGCAGGGGAGTGGACAGTTTCTAAACCTATGCCGACAAAACGTGGAGATTTTGCAGTTGGGGTGATTGGGGGAAAGTTTGTCTGTGCTGGTGGATTAGGTAAACTGTTCCTATGTTTTTATTTGAAGTTGGCGATTTGGGTTGATGTGAAGTGGGAGACACAGGAAATATATTCTGCTGAAAAACCATGGCAGAATAATTTTTACATTTGTAATAAACTTTATTAACAATAATAAATTATTCTTTCAAATGAAAAGCAGTAGCACCCTTAGCTGAAATTAGGAATATTTGGGGCAGTAAAATTAAAAGATGAGCTTGGATTTTAAAAAGAATAATTTAAAACGTACTTTTATGGTCAGTCCTGGCACCCGCTGAACACATTTATTTATTTCCAAAATAGGATTGACAACCAGTGGGTTTGAAATTGAAATCTTTTTCTTACAGGCAATGATGGTAAGCCTTTGAAAGCCGTTGAAGTCTTTGATGCTGATACCAACAACTGGACGACTGTGACGGAGATGCCATCAAGCCACTGCTCTTGCTCTTACACCATGGTCGGCAACCGCCTGTTTGTGTGTGGTGGACTCTCGAGTCGTGGTCCCAGCAATGCAATGGAAGCTTTAGATTTCTCATAGATTTAAAACTACATACGTGGTGCGATTTTTTTTGTGTGTATGATTTAGGTCGTCAGATGACTGCATTAAGGAGGATGATTGTGGTTGTTTAAATCAATTTTACAATAATGAAATATTATACTATTTTATTGCACTAATGTGATTGTGTGTTATCTTTTAATCAAAACACATTTGTTATATGGTACTTAAGTATTTAGATGTTAATGATGCTACAAATATTTTTATTTTAAATGCCTTTTGCCAGAAGTATAACTGGCCTATGAGTAAGAAATAATAGCAGCCTATTCGTTTCATATATTTATAGATCATTTTTCATATGTGCAATACAATGAGCTTGTTTTAATCTTTACTATGTTAGATGGGAGAATTGACCTCTCAAATATTTGGTACGGTATAAATTTTTTTTTTTAAAGTTCACTAATACGTACCATTATAAGGTTTAACAGATTTAATCTGTTGTTTTAAAATGGCTCGTTAACAAAGGATGATCCATCCATCCCTGTGGCACTACAGCCCATTTAAGGCTTTGGTGGCCTGGATTCCCAGCTGCTGTAGATCTTTTTAGATCCATCCATCTAAGCCTGGGTCTGCCTTTGAGCCATTTTTCCTCTGTGATTTTGGTGTTGCAACCTCTTCACTCCTCTGTCATTTTGGCATTCTTTCTAAGTTTCCCGCCCAGCGTGGCCTGCCCTTTTTTATTTCTGCTACTAGCTTGGGATCCTGATGTAGTCCATACAACTTCTGGTTGTTTCATATTCTCCATCCATATTCATCCTTTTTTGATCCAATATATTTGCTAGAGAACTTTTCTCTCCCATGTGTTTAATAGGTTTTCTGCCATTTTTGTTAGGGTCCAAGTTTCACTTGCGTATGTTACAACTGGTCTGACTACCGTTTTATATATCGTTTGGTTTGTTTTTCTAGTAATGTTTATACTTTTGAGTATTTTGTGACTGCTGAAGTATGGCCTTTTCTGGCCAATATTCTTTCTTTTATTTCTGTTAGTAATTCATTTCTTTCATCTATTAAAGATCCTAGGTATTGGAATTGATTGACCGGGTTTTTATTTTCAGCATGAATATTCACCCTGAACCTTGGTTTTTCTTTTGGAGTTGTTTTATGTTACATGTATGTGTCTTGTCAGTTTGTTGGGTTATGCCAAACTCCTGCAGAGTCACAAATATTTTTTTTTTTTTTTTTGCTGTCAGAGGCCATTTTATATTCCACTGAGAATTTTTGTGCTAGGATATTATTTTCATAACATTTATTGTTTTTTTTTTTTTTTTTTTTTTTTTTTTTTTTTTTTTTTTTTTTTTTTTTTTGGTTTTTTCTAAATTTTTGTAGGGTTTCAAATTTTTTTTTTTTTTTTTTTGCTGTCAGAGGCCATTTTATAGTCCACAGAGAATTGATGTGCTAGGATATTATTTTCATAACATTTCTCTAATAGGCATCTGATGATGAAAATCTGATCATTCGCTGATCTGTTTTGTCTGAATCCACTTTGGTATTCACCTAGTATTTGTTTAGTGCATGTTTGTATTCTTTTGGCATTTAGATTCGTCAGTATTTTGTATGTAACATTGAAACAGGAAATTCCTCTGTAGTTTGTCCATTGAAGTTTGGAGCCTTTCTTGTGTATTGGGGCTATTAGTGCTGTTTCCCATTCTTTTGGGATTTACTCTTCTTGCCAAATTTTAGTTGTATGTTCATGTGTCAGTGCGTAGTTCTCTTCCTCCATTTTTAATACGTTCTGCTGTGGTGAGGTCTTCTCCAGGGGCTTTGTGGCCTTTCAAGAGTTGGTTACTTCTGTAGTTTATTCCAGAGTTGGGGTAGTTTATTAAGTGGTTCATAATCTTCATCTTATCCATTCTCTGCTTTAGTGTTCCCTCAAAATATTCAGCCCATCTCTCCAGTACTTTACTAATTTACAAAATCAATTCTCCAAATTGCTCTCACAACACTGAAGTCTGGCTTGGCTGGTATCCATTCTATTCATCTTTTATGTTTTACATTCCTCTAAAATTTTCCTTTCTTCATAATTCTTCAATTTCTTTTAGTTTAGCCTTTTCCCATTCTGTTAAAGACTTTATCTCCTCTTGCGGATGTCTGGATGGAGCATTATCCTTTTGTTCACACGCATGACATTTTAAGATCTCTTTTGCTGTGTTCACCTGGTAAATGGCTGGACGACAGAGGCAGTTGACACACACTGTTGCTCAAATTATCATGGTGAACGGGAGGTGGGTGAGTTCAGATCTAATTTTTAGTTTTATGCCTAGGTAAAGAGTTAACCAGGATTTTGTAAGCATTCGATGTTTTTTAAAAAAAGATTACAATTTTAATGCAGCCCTAAAACTGAAAAGCAGTAAATTAAAAAAAACTTTTGAAAGAGACTTTCTATCCAAGACGAGTTAAAATGCACTAAAAAGTAGAAAATATAAAAAATATCTTAAAATGCATTACGCTAAGGGTACAGAAAATATTTTCAAAAATTAATACAAATCAAACCTCCGGTATTTAAGTTTCATTCAATACAAATCAAACCTCCGGTATTTAAGTTTCATTCAATACAAATCAAACCTCCGGTATTTAAGTTTCATTCAATACAAATAAAACCTCCGGTATTTAAGTTTCATTCAATACAAATAAAAGCTCCGGTATTTAAGTTTCATTCAATACAAATCAAACCTCCGGTATTTAAGTTTCATTCAATACAAATCAAACCTCCGGTATTTAAGTTTCATTCAATACAAATCAAACCTCCGGTATTTAAGTTTCATTCAATACAAATCAAACCTCCGGTATTTAAGTTTCATTCAATACAAATGAAACCTCCGGTATTTAAGTTTCATTCAATACAAATGAAACCTCCGGTATTTAAGTTTCATTCAATACAAATCAAACCTCCGGTATTTAAGTTTCATTCAATACAAATGAAACCTCCGGTATTTAAGTTTCATTCAATACAAATGAAACCTCCGGTATTTAAGTTTCATTCAATACAAATGAAACCTCCGGTATTTAAGTTTCATTCAATACAAATAAAACCTCCGGTATTTAAGTTTCATTCAATACAAATAAAACCTCCGGTATTTAAGTTTCATTCAATACAAATAAAACCTCCGGTATTTAAGTTTCATTCAATACAAATAAAACCTCCGGTATTTAAGTTTCATTCAATACAAATAAAACCTCCGGTATTTAAGTTTCATTCAATACAAATAAAACCTCCGGTATTTAAGTTTCATTCAATACAAATAAAACCTCCGGTATTTAAGTTTCATTCTCATTCAGTTGAAATCCTTTAGCTTCCTATAATGCTCATCTACACTTCTGCAGTCTTTACATAATGCATTTTTAATAATTTTTTTAAAATGTCTACTGTTTAGTGCATTTAAACTTGTCTTTGATAGAAGGTCTTTTTTAAAAAAGTTTTTAGAATATTTTTTATTCTTCCTGCACATTTTTGTATATTTGTCTTGTATTTATAGTTTCCCTTGTATCATCGTCATTAGTGCATTGTTCCTTTCTTCGACAGTCTTTCTGCATTCATTATCAAACCAGCATTCTCTGCTCTTGGTTGGCTGAAATCCTACTACTTTTTCTGCTTATCTTTTCATAACATATCCCACTGTTCATTTATGTTGTTTGTCCTGTTTATTTCCTCCTGTGATGCTTCTAATTGTGCTGCTACTTTATTTTGGTAAGCTTTTGCCGTTAGTGGATCGTATGTTTTTGGTAATCATATTGTTTTTCTTTTTGATTTCGGCCATTGTGTATTATGCTTATTCTCTGCTTACATTTAAACCTTTCAAGTATATGCTCCATCAGCATATGCTTCTCGATAGCTTCTTACATTTAGTATGTCTGATCTGTGCCTCTGATCAATTAGAACATGGAGTATTTGGTTATGAGTGAATCCATCTGGTGAGTTCCAAGTACCTTTATGTATATTTTTCTGTTGAAACGTGGTGCTGCTGTCATCCGTTTTTCCTAAAGCAAAGTCTTTGAGTTGGATTCCATTGTCATTGGATTCTTCATGTAGGCTTTCCTTGCCAATAGTTGGCATGAACCATTTTTCTTTCCCTATTTGGGCATTAAAGTTGCCAATCCCTATTTTAATATCATGTCGTTGTGCCTCATCATAGATCTTTTCCAGCGTATCATAAAAGGATTCTTTTATCTGATCTTTGGTGGGAGCATGAACATTTATAAATGTTTTGTTAAACATTTTCCATCACACATGCAAAGAGCACAATCTAAGAGAAGCTGTTAACTTGACAAAACATTTTTAAAATGTATAAACATTTTTTCTTTATGGGTGGCAGCAAAAGATATAAATCCTTGATGTACACAACACCATTTCTACTGTCCTTCATTATGATTTTGAAAATATTTTAATCCCCACATTTCTGAACAACTATCGAATTAATACTGTACACTTTCTTCTTTTGCGAATCACCATCTCAGTACAGCTGTGATTGTTTTAAATAAACTGATGCATTTTTATGTTGCTTTTTAAAGCGATTTTTTTTTCTGCCAATTAATTGTACGTTTCTGCTGGTGGTAATCTGCTTATTAACAACCAACATAAATGTTACATTGTACTAAGGGTGTTTACACTTGCATCTTTGTTAATTTCCCATCAAGGGACAAAGGTTCATTCCAATCATTATTATAGTATTCGAAATTATAACAATGTATTGGGATCTTATATATATATTGCCTAATCATCTTGCATTTAGAATAACCAAAACTGTAAACTATGCATATTTTGTGTGACTGTAATTTTGTTTAAAAATGTCTTTGAGAATAGTGTAGGTGTTTTTTTTTAAATTTTGCTGAACTTGCATTTTTTTTTACTGGGCGCTTTAATTTTACTTTTATTCATTCTCTCAACTTCATGACAATGTCATATTTATAAATTTATTTTAAAAAAAAGGAGAGAGTGGCAAAGACAAAAAAAAATTTTTGTTACCTTCCCCATGATTATTAAGTTAGAATTGTGACCTTCCCAATAATTAAGTTAGAATTGTGACTTTCCCAGTAATTAAGCTAGAATTGTAACCTTCCCAG